TTTATTTTCTAAAGAGAGTATAAGTTAGAATTAAAACAGAAAAAATTACAAGTGATACAGAATTTCTTAACAAAGTAACATGTATTTCAGAGTATTTGTTGTAAGACATACTGTTGTCTTCCAACTAGTTATTCATATTACCAGATATATGCATGTAAAATTGGAAGAAGAAAGAAAAAAGAAAGAAATGTATAAGAAATTAAGAAGAGAAAAAATACAAACAATTGAAAAAAAGGAGACAAAGCAAATTAAACATCATCTGCTCCTTTCCACAGACCAGCAGAAATGCACAGTACAGTTGTCCAAAGCATTTTGCTTGCATACATAGATAATTCTCTTTCCCCTACTCCCTCTCCTGTCCTTCTCAACTCAGTAACTCTTTCGTTTTGAATAACTTCTTTTCCCCAGTATCTATTGTACCCTTCAGATTCTATTTTTCTCTTTCATGTTCTCACACTAAGGACACAATACGAAGACATAACACATCTTAATTCTACTTTTATTCCCTTCTCACCCTCTTCCTCCCCTTTCCTGCCATCTCTTAGTACCCTTTCCTTTTGCAAACAACATATCTCCTTATTTTTCATTATCTGTCTTTTATTTATTCTTTACACTTTGGGCTTTTCAGAGAAGAGAAATGTGATATTTTATTTCAGTCCATGTTGTGATTTCAACATGAAACTATTTTATTACAAATGACTTGATTTTTCTTTTTTTGTGTGTGTGTGTTACTGGGGTTTGAACTCAGGACCTTGCGCTTGCTAGGAAAACACTTATTCTATTGAGCTATCTCCCACGCCCCTGAGACCTGACTCTTCTTTATGGAAGAATAGTACTCCTAGTGTGTATAAACATCACATGCTCTTTATCCAGTCATCTCTTGATGGACATATAGGCCACTTCCAAGATTTAGCTCTTATGAAATGTGCTGCTATAAGCATGGTTATGCATGGATCACTGTAAAAATGATGTCTTTTACTCTTTGGGGAAGATACTTAAAAGGAGAATAGCTGGGTCCAGTGAAATTTCTATTGCTACCTGTTTAAGGAAACACCATACCAGTTTCCATAAAGGTTGTAATACTTTACTTTCACATCAACAATGTAGGGTTTTCTTTTCTCCCAAATCTCACCTGAGTTTGATTTTTTGATGATACTCTTTCTTTCTGGGGTAAGATAAAATCTGTGTTGTTTCAATTTGTATTTCTGTAATGGCTAGAATTGTTGAATAGTTTTCACATATTTATTGACTTTTAAAACTTTATTTTGGAGAGATACCTATTGCAATTGTACATTTTTGATATAGTCTTTTATTTATGGTAGGGGAGGTCTAATTTTTTTGTGTTCTTTATAAAGACATTAGACTTAAGTTCAAAGAATAGCTGTCAATTTTTTCCATTCTGTAGATTGCCTCTTCACATTGTTAGTTGTTTCCTTACATGTAGGAGCTTTTAATCTTTTTAAATTTTAAACAAAAGAAAAA